ATGCCGTGATGGTAGATACATTTGTCACTATACATGTGTCAAAACCCATAGATTGTAAAGCACAAAGAATGAACTCTAATGTAAACTGTGGACTTCAATTACTAATAATGTATCAATATTGGCTCAATATAGGTGAAACTGTGGGGAGAAGTGTCTATGGGAACTCTTTCTACTTTCCACTTAATCTTTCTGTAAACCTAAAAGTGCTGTAAAATATAGTTTATTAATTTTTTAAAAAAGATGTGCTGTATGTGGGAAAAGACAAGCAGTAAACTATTTGCAATCTATGCAACAGACAGGATTAGTATCCCGAATACACAAAGAATTCCTACCAATGGATAAGGAAAAATATTTTTAAAAAAAGATAATTGAAAAATAATACAGACAGCACGTTCATAAAAGAAGAAATAGAAATGGTTAATACACATGTGAAAAAATGCCCAAACTCACTAGTAATAAGGGAAATGAAAACTTAAAGCAATGTTGAGGTGTCATTTTCACCATGCAATGGGGCCAAATTTTTAATGTTTAATAACATTAGTATTGGGGAGGAGTTGGGTGAGTACTTTAAGGAGCTCCTGAGGGGGACTCAGCACCTGTCATAATCACCCTCCTTCCCTGGAATCCAGACCTGAGAACTCCCCCCAGCCCAGAAGAGCAGCCCCCGTCTGAGGTCAGAGAGCAGTGGGACATGTTCATGTGAGCTGACATTGGCCCAGGGACACAGACGACCTCTGAGTCTTCTGTCTTGGTCAGGCCTGGGGTCAAGTGATTGGAAAGAAATTGACAAACTCTGCAAATTAGGGCATTTTTCCTTTTCCTTTTTTTGTTTTCTTTTTGGAGTACCAGCTGGTAAAGATTCACCGTGACACACTGGCACACAGGATGTCCCCACCCCATCCCCCCAGGTGAGCTTCTAGGACTCAGAGCCTGGCCCCCTCTTTGCTTCTATCTTTTCTTATCTCCACTTCTCCTCTCCTCATCTCCATCTTTCCTCCTGTCTTCCTCTTCAGGAATAGGGGAAAGTGTGACTGGAGCACTGAGAGCAGGGACAGATGCTTTCTAGGCAGCATGGTAAGAGCCCTGGCTTTATGGGCATTCGGACCTGGGCTCCAGTCACAGCTAAGTCTGCTCCCTGTGTGACCTTGGACAGACTTGACCAC